AAATGTGGGAATTCAGAGAACCATAACCACAGCTTTGGGCAGATACATCTTGTTACCTCCTCGCCAGAAAACTCCAATGAAATAACCAAGGATTTCATCATTGTAGCAAATAGCCCCAAACTTTCCTGCTAGGGTTGCCTCGTGTCCAGTTTTGAACCGGACAGTCCAGTATTTGAGCTTTCTGTTCAGGAAACAAATTGAGAAAATATAAATGTCTGGTATTTTCTAAATAAGATGTAATGTAGATTGTGATGTAATGTCAAGTGTGTTCGGTATTTTTGTTGAAACCATCTGGCAACCCTGTCTCCTGCAGGTGTGGGCAAGTGGGTCATATGCACATTTTCTGAGACTGCAGGCCATTGCAAACATTTTAGACACACTTATTATAAAAGCTGACAGTATATCTGACATAACAGGATTTTTTAAAAGGCTGTTACATCTTCAAACCTGCACAACCACAGAAGCTTTTCATATTAGCAGCAGCAGTGAGGGAATGCATTCTCACATTACAGAGCACAAGAGAAAACCCTGCAGTTGCAATGAGGCTAAACTGAATCTGTATGAGATAGGAGACATCACAGCATGGTTCAAATAGTCCCTAAGCCAGTCTGAGGAAAACTAGGCCTCAGTCAATGGCCTACTTGTGACATAAGAAAAGATGAACAACCTCCTCAAGATAATACTGTATTGTAACAGGACCATAAAGATTTCAGTTTCTTTTAGATACTTAGTAAATGCCTACATGCTAAGCCACATATACAAGTTCTGCACCAAACGACTATGTACCTGTCTATGTCCATGCGACTAGATATCAGAAAGGAACCTAAGAAGATGAACTTAGAGACTACTTTCTTCCTAAAAGGTAATGTTTCATTCAAGAAGGAAGAATGAACTACAGCCTTTGAACAGGAGGGCAAACTCTAGGCCAAACACCACTTCTGGAAATTAACTCTTTTCTCATCCCATCCCAATTTCTTCCAATGATTTTAGTCCGGGTTCTTCTGTGCTGTGACCCACACCCAACCACGTTTCCCACCACTGTTATATTCATGATATGTTTGATTACATTCCCGTGTCTGTGGCTAAATTCTTCTCCAAGAAAAAGTAACAGTGGGCTTTTGAATAAAGTACACGAGTCCCAACAGAAAACTGTTAATTAAATTTCCACCTCCCAACTTTTGCTTCTAATCTTTCCCACAAACACACCTACAGCTGGCTATCTTCCAGGAATATCTTCATGTTTTTTTTTTTAAATACCATTTTGAAATTTCAGAAATGGTTTGTGCTAGTGATAAAAAATGTACATGCACATCCACAGGGTACATGTTCAGTCACCCATTTCTGGGGCAAAGAGCAGTTAGTGCCTGTTTCTTCATAAGTTGCTCTGTGGGAGAGGGCTTGAGTTTCACCCACACTGTACTCGTCGCAAAAGTGCTGAGAACTCAGCTACAGGCCGTCTTTGCTATAAGTCCAAGGTACGTTCCAAAAAACTTGGACTTATAGCGAAAAAACTTAAAGTGGGAATTTTTTTTCCCATGGCTGACTTCCATTTGCACAAATTGGGGAGGGGAGTGGTGTGACTTAAGAGCAGGGAATGGGAGGACTTATATATCCATTCCACACTAAAGTCCTTGATGCTTGTAGGAACTGATGTGCTATACCGGGGGCGACTGATAGCAGGGACGTCTAGTATTATATGTTCACTGGAGAAGTAGTACTCAGCAATGACAATAGCATTCAAATTGCCCTCCCTTTCTTTGGTACTATTTTGTATCATTTTTATGAAGATTAAATGAAAAGAGGAAAGGGAGGGAGGGTACAATTCCATTAGATGTCAGTTTTCTCGGCTCCAAAGTCATTTTTGCAGGGTACCGTTTGCCTGCAGGCAATGATAAAGCTACTGATTAAATTTTAAAGGGGCTGTCTTTGAACCAAAGCTGAGCTAGAGCAGGAGGGGATGTATTATTTAAGTGAGGGACTGTGTGTTTTCCACCACAGTAGTGACTGTGGGATTGCTGGGCTGCACACACCGCAACAGAGTCAAAGAAACTAGTGCCAGGGACAAGCATTACATTATACTAGAATATATGCTGAATTACCCATTTATAGCACTCTGATTGTAACTTTTAATAAAGCACAGTTACAGCTGATGTAATATTGTTAATGGCAAGCTGAGAATCCTTCGGTAGAATGAAGCTCACCTGAGCTTCTTACTTCATCCATCAGAGGACTAAATAGATTTTCCACATAAAAATATAGATCTCATGCTGCTGGGAAAAGAGGCAGCTTTAAGTGTTCCAATGTCATCTCAGCAGATCCAAGTTTGTATCCTAAGGAATAGGAATTCATGTGGTAAAATGGCTAACAATGATGAATGTCACACCTGTTTTGGAAGGTTCTTCATCATGGACACACTTGAGGGTATGTTAATAGCACTCGTCAGATGTTCCACTGTAGGTGAGCTTTCAGTGCTCAGGTTTTCTAAGAAATTTTAGGAAAAGAAAATTGTAATTCTAAAAGGATTTCCAGTGGACTAAAGTAAATGGCAAAATTCCCAGAATATATTCCTGTTTATTTTTACTAATTTCAATATGTCTTAGAAATTTTGAAACTAAAAAAAATATTGACCATCTCTGGTTCCAACGAATAAACCACCTACATTTAAAACTCAATTTCCTGTTAGAAAAAGGTATCATGTGAGCATTCTGTGTGGTTTGGAGAAGTGGCTTGCTCTGGTTTTAAAACATGAAACATTCCATTTGACAGAGGAGGGGGAGAGGTTGGTCTCATTTTGAAGCCAGAAAAAATAGTTCTGATATTGTTGTCATCTTGATTATCATCAAAACCCAAAAGGAGCATGGTAGAATGTCATTGTTCCATTATCATCTCTCCAGAGTTGTTTCTTCAGTGCAACAACTACAGTACTAAGAATCTTTTCCGTTTTGGTAAATGTTGTTTTTTCCCTGGCAATCGCAAAGAGAAGCTGCTGAAAGAATTGGGAAATACACTTTTTAGAGTTTCTGACATCTCTTGGGAAACTTTTTACATTTAGAAAGTATTTTCCTCACATGTAGTGTGCTTACTGTGATTCTTAAACTCACTTTAGTATACAGGAACATTTGCATGAAAATAGCATCTTAAGGTTTTTTATGGGTGACTTGCAATATATTTTTAATTTAGTTATTGTGCAGGGGGATACGGTGGTGAGTGCGAACCCCCTCACACTGTGTTAAGAGGAGAATGCAGCACATAACTGATTACAAACATTTTCTTTTCATGTTAGGTTTCGTAACTGTCTAGATCTCCAGACGCTATTCAGAATGATGCTCCTGGATGCATTAATCTGATGTCATTATGACTCCGTGGTGCCAAGAAGCTGTTTTATTAAGGAAACGGCAAGAGACCTTTTTAATGGTTTGTTTATTTGAGATTCTAAAAACATATCCTTCCTCATCTGCATACACCGTAAAAAGAGTAACAAGTCTTACACTTATTATTAGTAAATAATCAATCTTTATTCTTATATCCTACACAAAGATGACTTCTTGTACTTTCCCTTTCCTCAGAAACTTGAAAAAAAAATAGCTTGAATGTGCTGTATGGCTGAAATTACTAGATTCGACTTCTACTGGTCTGAGAAGGGAAAGCAAGTTCCAAACCAGGTGTACTTATAGAATGCCTTTTCCCATGATTGCCCTGTGTTTAAACTAGTGTACTGGCAGTGGCAACTCAGATACCTTGGCTGATCTGAATTGTTGGATTGCTAGGTCCCAAACTATTTAGGACTTTGTCAAATTCAGTATCTTAAATTGCACCTGGAAATAAACTGACAATGCAGCTCACAACGCTGTTCAATGCACTACTGTTTCAACATTGTTTCAATGTACTTCATTCAGAAAAGATTGCCCTACAAATGAGCTGCAAAATGTTATAGTGGCTGAAGTTTCTAACTGACGCTCAGGAGCTTCAGGGGGTAGCTGAGTTAGTCTGTTACAGAAAAAATACAGCAAGCAAATGGTCTGGTAGCACTTTATAGACTAACAAAACATGTAGCTGGTATCATGAGCTTTCGTGGGCACAGCCACTTCTTCAGATGACCAGAGTTATGATTAGAGGATAAGATATAGTTTCATATATAGTCTCATTTAGAGTGCTGTGCACACCAATAATCTAATCTTGGGATGACTATGACATGATCCACATTTTTTAAAAAAAAGGCTATTACTTGGTAGCCATGCCTTCTTTCCCATATGTCATGCAAACCCCCAACAAAGATATCAAATTCTTTGGTTTATTATTATTATTTTTATTATTATTATTATTTCAGTCAGGTCTGTACCGAGTCTCAACTGGCTTATCCTCATCCAATTATTCAGCTCCATCAACTTGATGAGATGAGCATTATTGTCAGATGAGCATCTTAGATATGGTAGCTTATATTTCCTCACTGAATCACAAGTCAGTATCTCCGAACTTTAATGATAGCCATGGATGAAACTTAAGAAGAGAAAGCTATGCTTGTTCCCTAAATATGGGTCTATTGCTCTGGAGATGGAAAGCTAGGTCCAAAATACTAGCAGCAGGTGGGAATGAATCTGAGTGAGCCAATCAAGGGGCATCATATATGTAGAGGATGTGAGTGGATAGGCAGAAGTGATGTAATTTACTCTAACTTAGATTTGATTCAGATTCAGACACGTCTGGATCAGGCCCTCTTACTAATATAACAGCCCAATTAGCGAAGGTCCCTTAACTGTCCAGGCAAATCTGCAGACTTGAAATTTCAAGACATTGTGGTAGGGGAGAGAGAAAAAAAACTTTTTTCACTTCCTTCACAGCCACTGATTAAGATTTCAACCATGCTTTGTATCATAGTCAGGATCAGAACTGGCCTTCCATCATGGTTGCTCCATCCTCCCTCCTTTCCCATTTACTCATTGACTTGGAGGGATCACATTATTCATGGCCATGGGAAAAACATATTAGCTGTGTTTTACCAGACCACCAATGGAATAACCAATGTATTGGCCACTCTTCTCTGGAGTTGTCAGAAATGAACCTGCAATACCATGGTCAGCCACTGCTTTAAAAATAATAACTAAATATAATTGAACAACTGCAATCTATGCTAAATACTGGCATTTACCTCCAACCCTCCCAAGGACCAACTCCACATTTAATAAAATTTCCATGCAACAGTAAATGCTTGGAACAGGAGCTGCCAGTCTCTGACATCAGGGGAACTTAAAAAGTGGTAAGTTCAAATGATAACCTTCAATGAAATCTGGCATTCATTCGTGTACCACCTTTCACCTTCAAGGATACCAGGAAACTATGCAGAGGAATCACTTTACCCACCAATAAAACAGTCTCCTCCGAGGCAGATTACAGGATCTCTGTGAAGGCTGCCGCTTAGAATGAGATTAGATACTGGTTTAGCAAGAGAGGTAGAGAACTGTAAAGAATCTCACTCTAACTTTCATAGGCAAACTGTTCCTATCTGAAGAAGTGGCTGTATCCACGAAAGCTCATGATACCATCTACATGTTTTGTTAGTCTTTAAAATGCTACCAGACTATTTGTTGTTTTTTAAGTTTTTCCTGTTTTCACAATGGCATTTGGGAACATGATTACAACAGGAATGAGGTTTCTAAAACCAGCTAATGCATCCAGATGTATGCAGGTAGTTTTGAAAATCTCTGCCCATAGAGCAGTTTGTCCAGATGCTGGAGCCAGTTGCCTCTCCCTGTGAAAATTACCATGGGATTTATTTTATATACATGCCAAAGCATATTTAATAACCACAAGTGGCCAGGGCTTCTATTTTATGTCTCATCCAAAATACTATCTAATGCCTTCATCAGAACAGTGCCTCTACCATCATGATGGACATTCATGTCAGGAGTGATTCTGAAGGAAGATGACAGTAAGTCATCCAACACCAAATCTGGCAGCACCCTTAATTTTTGTGGGAAGCATCCCACCAAAGAATAAAGTAAGCCTGATAATGCTCAGCTCATGTGCACTACCAAGATGACATTGTGAGGCAGCACACAGGAAGAGTTTTAGAATTAAGACCTATTAGTGAATGCTCCAATTATCTTGGTTATTTGGAGCATTCAGCATGTCATCATAAAATTAATTAATAAAAAAAAAGTTACCTTAGGTTAGGATCACCTTGAAGCAATACCTTATTTTCCTGCAAATGTCTGTGTATGTAAAAGACAGAACAGAACAATGGAAACATGCAATGTGGAAGGAAAATTCTTTCTAAATAAAAAGTTTTTCCGTGAGCGATCAGTAGCTATTTTATAAGCCTGTTCCCTAGTTCATCAGCTTCAGTCTGCTATTGCAAGGCAGAGAGAAAAGAAATTAAAAAACAGAAAAAAAAGAAGTATCAGAGGGGTAGCCATGTTAGTATGAATCTGCAAAAGCAACGAGGAGTCCTGTGGCACCTTATAGACTAACAGATTTATTGGAGCATAAGCTTTCATGGGCAAAGATCCACTTCATTAGATGCATGGTCTTTGCCCATGAAAGCTTATGCTCCAATAAATCTGTTAGACTATAAGGTGCCACAAAAAAAAAGGTGACTCACAAGGTGGCTGATCACATGACTCCAAAACAAGATTCTCTTTAGCTGAAGTTAATCATATGACCCTTGTTTTACTGCTGCTGCATAAAGACTGCCTGAGGATCCAGCCCATGAGACGTTAGATTCTCACTCATCTCCACTTTACCAAAGATATCATACTTCCAGAGTACTTGCAAGACCATGGTTAATTAAATCAATAAACCACAAGTTGAAAGTCTGGCCACATGCCACATTTTTACTAACATGTTGTTCAGGATGTAGCATTAACAGCTGTTATTGTATCTGTGTGGGGGAGGCCAGGCAAGAAGAGACAAGGAGGAGAGGAGCTGCCGAATGAACAGCGCAAATCAACTGATTTTCAATTAACAGCTCAAATAAAAACGAAATGCCTTTAGTACTCAGCCTCCAAAGCCCCAATACTCTTAAATAAGGCAAGTACCTGGCCATTCTACAGATTCATTACATCAACTTCATTTTAAGCAAAACTGAATCATGCTTATTTAACAAGCTCTTCTTCACAGCAGCAGTTTCTCTTCAGGATTAGAAAGTTTAGAGATAAGTTGCATCCATGAGGTTCAAACTGGGATTCATGCCTTCCAACCCCGGCTATGTATTGATTGCATATGTACTAGTGTCATGGTTATTGAGCAAACTGCCCTGTAGATCCTTTTTAGTCCCTCCCTTGGCAAAATCATGTGATTCTACCCCTCAGGGGCTGCCTCCCATAGATCCAGCCATAATCTCCCACCTATGTTACCATGGCAGGCCCAGCTCAGTTAGCATTTATAAGGCCCCTCTAGGGTACTGTGACCAGTGAGTTGTTTGAAGTGACTCAAAGGCAGTGTCTTCAAAACAAGTGTGCCGGGACAGGACTCACTACTGTGGCACCTCCTGCTGGCAGCTCCAGGGAATTAGTTCGATCGTCGGCAGGGGTCCTCCTTCTGGCTGGTGTGTCTAGACTACTGAGTTTTGTCGACAAAAGTGAACTTTTGTCGACAAAACTATACCAGCGTCTACACTACCACTGAGTTCTGTCGACATAACGTCGACAGAACTCAGCAGTTTTGTCGACGCTGGTATACCTCATTTTACGAGGCATAACACCTTCTGTCGACAGAGTTCTGTTTGCAGCAGGTGTTATTGCCTGTAGGGTTGCGTCTAGACTACAGGGTTCTGTCGGCAAAGCAGCTTGCTTTGTCGACAGAACTCAATGTGTCTGGACGCTCTTTGTCGACAGAAGTTTTGTCGACAGGTACCGTCGACAAAACTTCTGTCGACAAAACCTGGTAGTCTAGACGTACCCTCACATTCTGGACCCATGTCGCTTCCAGACCACAGCGTCCTTTTCAGCATATTGCCCTCTGGCAGTGCCCACCCCAGTGGTCTCTTGTCCCCCTTCCAGGGGTATCAGCAGAACTCAGTTTCACCTGGTTCTGTGGCAACTGTAGCCCCAAAGCCTAATGGCTCTGCTTCAGGGCAAGCCACTGTCTGTATGGGCCACACCCCCTCCTGAGGTGGGAGGTTATCAGCAGTTCCCAGTTTCACCTGCCACTGTAGCTAACCATGACCCTAACATGTAGCCCTATTGTCTCAGGGGCAAGCCACAGTTTGTACAGGCCACTATTCTTTGTGGCAAGGTGTGGCATAAAGGGGAAAGAGGAGAAATTCACTACTATCCCACTACTCTGGCTCTGAGCCCAGGGACCCTCTGGCAGCAGCCTCATCCTGCCCTCTTTACTCTCTCCTGTTCTATGGGCCTCTACCCGCATTACTCTTGCATCTCATTGACCCTTGTATCAGGCTAGAGCCCCGTCTCTAGTTCCCCTGAGTCTGCCCAGCCCTGCTCTAACATGCGTTTTAGGGAACTGGTCCTGTACCCTCCCTGGTGAGGGTGGGTGCAGAACCAGTTGGTGGGTGCAGGACCAATGGCTCTCTCTGTTGGGCAGCTCCTTATATGCAGAGCTCCCCCAGCAAGCTGCCTTCTGCTAGGCTACAAAAAAGCCTCTCATGATTGGCCAGCACTGTGATTTAGCCCACGCCCAGATATTGTAGGGCAGCTGCCCCACCACAACCAGGCATTATTTATTAATTCTCCCTAAGGTATAAGCATTTACAGCAAAGGGTACAAAGATCTCCCGCTACCAACTGAGCTAGGAGAAGCAAATGGTGCCCTTTTGCTATCTCACTATCTTTCTCTGGGTATGTCTACATGGCAATTGCAAGTGTAGCTCATGTAGAGATACCCAAGTTAGTTTTAATTTAGCTAGCTCAGGTACAGAGGAGGGAAGCTGCAGCAGCACATCACTGTAGACTAGTTCTACACAGGTTCTGGGCATGTGCTGCTGCAGCTCCACTACTGCGTTACCAGTGCTAGCTAGGTTGGGTATGTGTATATGAGCTCTATCACCCCCAGAGATTGCAATGTAGATGTAGTCTGGGTCTCCTCGCATGCCTGTCAGCTGTCATAGCACGCTCTGATAAGCCTCTCAAAATTCACTCTGACCCCTTCCCTTTTCTAGGATCCTTTCATGGTGCAATGGTGCAGACTCTCCTTTGATCCTAGCCTGACCTTTGGGAAGAATAAACCATTCCATCCTAGAAGGAGCCCAATAGAGTGTACTTCCCAGTAAACAGCTTTCCCACTCTTACCTGTGTCATTGTTTTGCTTTTCCTCTAACAACCCCTTTTGATCTAACTCCATACCAAGTAACCTATCAGAAACACACAGCGGCCTGGACTATATTCATAAAGAATAATATAAATATTTCAAGTTCATTGCGATTGGTTTCGAGGAGAGTCTTGTGTTTACACTTAGGTGCTAGATTTCTTGGAAATGTCAAAGGTTTTGCTTATGCACCATGAAGGAGGAGTAAAAGGAGGATCAGGAATGTTAGGCCGCATAATTGTAGCCATTGTCTCATCTGATTCCAAAATATTCTTTTGTAAGAGTACACAGATCTGCAGTACACAGTTAAATTCTCATCTGTACAAGTATGACTGAGCTAAGGTACATATAAAAATAGTTACTTCATGTGATGTAAGTGTAAAGCACTTAAGCTAACAAATTTCAAAGCCTTAAGTTACAATTTATCTTTCCTCCTGCCTCAGAATTTCTACATGATGATTTTTCTAATCCACTACTTATGAGATCTGCATATGTTCAAGCAATGACATCTCATGTTTGATTTCACACACATTTATGTCTAGTCAAAGGCTATCTGTGCTTTGTTTAAGACACACACCCCTCCACTCCAATCAGTCTGTGATACATCTAAGTTCATTTTAAGTCCTCTTCATGCTTAGCTTGAGGTACTTCCTCAATCACTTTAAGATTTTTCTATGTTCAATGTTAAGACTCCCCTGTGTGCAATCAAGGCACTTTTGTGTTGAGTCTGAAACATTTCCCTATGTTCAAAATTATGTTTGAGCCATATCTCTCCCGGTATATAAATGGGGAAAGCAATCTTTATAGAAAAGGCACATTTCAATGAAGATGATAAGTCTTCCTAATGCTCTCAAATCCTGTTGGCTTTCTTTCCTAGGATATTTTTTCCCTCACAATGATCTTCATGGTAGAAGTATTTTGAAAGTACATTTTCATGTCTCCTAAAAATAATCAGTGTTTAATTTTCTCTCCCCAACCATGCCTAGTTTGAGTCCTTGTGCTATTCACACCTCGCCCTAGTACAAAAAAATTTGTTAAAGAGTGGGATGCAACAACTAAAACCAGTTTTTCAATAGCCAAATTTATTTTTTCCTTTGCAAAAATTCTGATTGAAGAAAAGCAGGATTATGATTATTTTTTAAAACTTTAATAAAATATTAATAATATAGGTGAAAGTACATCCTACATAATGGCATGGTACTAAAATTTTGCAAAACAGTTCTGAGTCTCACCCATAACCCATGGAGTCAGAAATATAAACTATGAAACTTAAGCTGCAGGAGGAGAAAAGGAGGGAATGCTTCAGGTTCAAGATAAAAAGCACTACTTCTCATCTAAACCCATCCTTTTATTTTTAAGCTCTTCCTCATTTAAGTGATGTTTACTGTTAGCTCAATGTAGTAATTCAGTTTTGGTTTCATATGCACTATGAAACATGTCATGAACATGAAATTGGGCGCATTTGGTCAGTGACTGTCCGCACAGACAGAAGAACCTTTCACATTTAGCATCTTCTCTAGGTATCCCATTGTGCTTCACAAACCACGCACCTACGGCAGTGACTTTCAACCAGGGGTACACCAAGACCTTTGTTAGAAAAAAAAAGAAAAGGCTGCCCAGAGGCAGATGAGGTAGAAGGGCACCTTTACTGCTGATACCTGTTCTGTCTCAGATCCCCCCTACCTGGGATGTGAATGAGCAACAAATTAACCCCAAGTACACCTTTTTATCCTAGTTAATATGTAAATACACTTATCAATTACATCACTTTTAAGCCCTAAGTTAGTAATGTGAATACTCATATAATGCATAATCATAACCATGTGATGAATATAATTATACCCATCCCTGTTTACTGTTTACAGCTTTTAGTTGATGTCAGTAGTTCTCACAGCCCAAAACTCCTTGTATCAGCAACATAGAAGGGGGAAAGGCTACATGACCCTGAATGTATACTTCAGCGTGAATGGGAACAGATAACGGGGTGTCAAGGCTATTCTCCACTTTGGCACTACAAATGCAGAAGGTGGGGGCCTGAACTACTTATGAGATCTGCATATGTTCAAGCAATGACATCTCATGTTTGATTTCACACACATTTATGTCTAGTCAAAGGCTATCTGTGCTTTGTTTAAGACACACACCCCTCCACTCCAATCAGTCTGTGATACATCTAAGTTCATTTTAAGTCCTCTTCATGCTTAGCTTGAGGTACTTCCTCAATCACTTTAAGATTTTTCTATGTTCAATGTTAAGACTCCCCTGTGTGCAATCAAGGCACTTTTGTGTTGAGTCTGAAACATTTCCCTATGTTCAAAATTATGTTTGAGCCATATCTCTCCCGGTATATAAATGGGGAAAGCAATCTTTATAGAAAAGGCACATTTCAATGAAGATGATAAGTCTTCCTAATGCTCTCAAATCCTGTTGGCTTTCTTTCCTAGGATATTTTTTCCCTCACAATGATCTTCATGGTAGAAGTATTTTGAAAGTACATTTTCATGTCTCCTAAAAATAATCAGTGTTTAATTTTCTCTCCCCAACCATGCCTAGTTTGAGTCCTTGTGCTATTCACACCTCGCCCTAGTACAAAAAAATTTGTTAAAGAGTGGGATGCAACAACTAAAACCAGTTTTTCAATAGCCAAATTTATTTTTTCCTTTGCAAAAATTCTGATTGAAGAAAAGCAGGATTATGATTATTTTTTAAAACTTTAATAAAATATTAATAATATAGGTGAAAGTACATCCTACATAATGGCATGGTACTAAAATTTTGCAAAACAGTTCTGAGTCTCACCCATAACCCATGGAGTCAGAAATATAAACTATGAAACTTAAGCTGCAGGAGGAGAAAAGGAGGGAATGCTTCAGGTTCAAGATAAAAAGCACTACTTCTCATCTAAACCCATCCTTTTATTTTTAAGCTCTTCCTCATTTAAGTGATGTTTACTGTTAGCTCAATGTAGTAATTCAGTTTTGGTTTCATATGCACTATGAAACATGTCATGAACATGAAATTGGGCGCATTTGGTCAGTGACTGTCCGCACAGACAGAAGAACCTTTCACATTTAGCATCTTCTCTAGGTATCCCATTGTGCTTCACAAACCACGCACCTACGGCAGTGACTTTCAACCAGGGGTACACCAAGACCTTTGTTAGAAAAAAAAAGAAAAGGCTGCCCAGA